TGTTGTTATTTCTAAATATGATTATAATATTATACAAAATACTTTCAGAAGATTTCTTTGTGCAAGTCATACTTTCTAGAAAACCAATTTGAATCAAACGGACAACATCTAGATGCTTGATTTTATTTTATCGACGCCATATTTTTTATGTTTGATTGGTGTGTTGTAACAGATACCGTTAATGTTATCGTTGTTCATACTTTGTAGAAAACCACTTTGATTCAACACACAGACAACACCAAGATGCTTGATTTTATTTTTCCGACGCCATATTTGTTATTTTTAACAGATACCGTTAATGTTATCGTTGTTCATACTCTGTAGAAAACCACTTCGATTTAACAAACAGACATCATCAAGATGCTTCGGATTTGATTTGATTTTATCTACAACATATTTGGTATGCGTTTTAACAGATAATCGGCATGATAATAGGAATTAACTGTGCTCCTTTTCAAGTCATCTTTCCAATTTCACTTGGGAGGCGCTATGCTATGAAAAACGAAAAAGAAATGATTTTCGATTCCCCCATGTTGTTAATTTTCCTTTTTTGGACAATCATGTTCCTTAGCCCCTTCTTACGTTATGTGTATATTTCCCAAATCGTTTGTTATGCCATGTCAGTGGTGACGTTTTAGATTTTAACGAACGTAATCTTCATTTAACTGGGAAACTATTAAGTCATGAATTTCGTTACCACAAATTACTTAAAACCTTTACTAAACTCTTTCATAGTTACAATAGTCAACCTATTTTCAACTGATTTTCAAAGTTTACTCTCATGTTGTGCTGTTACACCACTGTCCAGTTTTGAGAGGTTTTAGCGCTCACATATATGTTTAACCCCGCCAGATTCTTTATGTGCTTTTATCAAGTCATGCCTGTAATTCAGTTGTTGTCGTTAGTTACTATCTACGATATTTCTATTCGTTTGTTGTTTTCAGTATCTATCAGGCCCGTTGGGTTTTCTCTTTTGAAATGTTTCACATTTTGACCTGATGAGGCCTTTTATAGCTTACTATACATAACAGTTTTTATCCATGTTGAAGGCCGTACACCCTATAATTGTTTACATCCTCATCCTTTGGTCTCTGGTGGATATTAGTCTCATCGACAATCAAGCCATATCTCCTTATTTTAATTTAATAAACTTATTTGTATAATACAGATTTCATAACGGAGCTTCTCAAGAGAAGAGGAATGAAAAAAGCATCCTTTAACTGCACGATCCACTATATAGATGCATTCATCTTTCTAAATAATTCTGAAGGTGTGGTGACTATGAATAAATGGAATTCTAGGTAAACATTAATGAGACAGCAACCCAAACACACACATAACCAAAATGACACCTAAAGGTCAACAAACAGTCTTCAACAATAGACATGTGTCTTTACAATATGTTAAGCTATAGATTGTACCGTTGTAAATAAATTAAAGAGAAACTATCACAGACCTGCCATCAACACCGAATTCTCAAAATAGAAAATAAATGCAAATTTAAAATATGACACAAGACAACTACCGAAGAGGTTGGTAAATAGAACCAACCTCACTAAACCTGAAACAAAATACTCCTAAATTTTCCTATTGTGAATTTTCCATTTCTATGTTGCAACTTTCCAGCAGTTCCTTTATAGTATATCTCCAAGTTTATACGATATACAATGTACCAGGGTCTGGCTTCATATCGTTATTTTCGTGATCGAGTTACTACTTAAAAGGAGTCTATAACCAAGCGTCAATAATGGTCAAATTGAAGTGCTAGTAATCTTTTTTTATGGAAAACTCACCATCCCAGTAGTCAGCACTTCTGTGTTGACATGAATTATCATCGATATGGTCATAATTATAAATAAACTTTAAAACAAAAACTTAGAATTTTTCGAAATACTTATGATTTTCTACCCTTGGAATAGATAATCTTAGCTGTATTTGGAAAACCTTTCAGAAATTTGGGTCCTCAGTGCTTTTACAACTTCAAACTTTGTTTTTTTTTAATTTTTTTATTCGAGCGTCACTACATAGAGTCTGTTGAAGACGAAAGACGCGTTTGGCGTGCACAATTTTAATCCTGATATCTATGATGAGTTTTTGATTTGGTTGACGTTATGGAATATATTTGTCACAGATGATATGTTCTATCGGCGTCTTATCACTGGATCTTTACTTGTTCTAACCAAAACGACGGGTGCCACTAGAGTGCAAAAACTGTCTACCCTTTGGAGTTCACCTCCTGTTTTGATGGGATTCGTGTTACTCAATTCTTAGTTTTGTACGCAGTGTTTTGTTGATTGTTATTTGTCTGTTCATCTTTTTCTGTTGATCATGCTTTTGTTTGTCGTTCCTCGACTTGTTTTTTTTTATAGCTTTTCTTAATTGGTATCTGAGTGCCAATATAGAGAAAAACGAGAAGTTCTGGTACTGAAATTGACTCTAAATCTGGTGTATAAAGTTACATGTCCACAATAGGTTCCCGGCCCTTAATCTTCCGAAACTTCCTATTAGAAAATATTCTAGTTAAACTTCAAATGAGATTCATATATCGAAATATCTATAAAATGTCAACCATGGATTTTTATACAGGGGTAATAGGCTGGACATTTTGTCACAAATGTTGTGTATTACATTTATTAACACATAATGATCCTATTTGTAGCTGTCAAATAGCCGATTAATTGCTTGTACTTGTATGAAGAATCTGACAGCTTTACAAGTATTTTGTCACCATTTTGTACTTATGATTTAGTATGACAAGAATACAATAGACAGTCCCTTTATACGACTGGATTCTTTTATACGTAAAAATCAATGCAAATCATATTGTCACATCTTGTCCCTTCTTTTAGCGAGTTACCCAGGTACTCTAGAACAGCAACGGTAAATAAACTCATCAAAGATACCATGATTAAAATTGTGTAAGGCAGACGTGCGTTTCGCCTAGAAAAGACTTATCAGTGACGCTTGAATAAAAAAGGTTAAAAAAGGCCTTCTAAAGTACGAAGTAAAGGATGTTCGCCAGGCATGTTTTGGAATTTTTGTCCTCTGGTTTTATCTATTTGAATGCCTTAAAAAATTTTGCCCACAAACCCCCATTTTTCTTTTTATAACTCTTTTACATGTAAAATTTTAAGCCATCTGTAAAAGTCCTATAAAATCTTTGTTATTTTCTAATAGTTTTTGTGAACTTAAACTCGTCAATGATAAAGTATGAAAAATCAAGAGATAACATTTTCCCGCCAAAATTTCAATGGCTAATATCTCGAAAACGAGCACACGTACCTATATTTTGTTTCCGCTCATTTTGGTTCCTTTACTAATCCCCTATCAATATATACTAGTGTTATGAAAAGCTTGTTATTTTGAAACTGAGTAGCGAACTTCCTTAAAGAGCAAGGAACGGTTCAGATAATAATCTTAAATCCTTAGCTAATACTCTTGCGGATTTAAAGTTGTCTTGATTATATTGAAGTGAAAGATAGGGCATATGTAGAAACTTCCCATGGTGTCGTATATCAAACATAGATCACTTACAATGGCCTTCATAAATTTTGATAAAAACCAAATATAAAAGTGGTAGGGCCAATATACTCTAATATTAACAATTTCAGAGTAATTAACAGCATAAAGGGAGAATTGAAATGTTTGTATAATTACTATGACGTCATCATTTTGTCACTATGATTACCATTTTCGTCATTCTGGTTACCATGCTTTTCTTGGTGATGCCAGCAGATATATAGCTGAATGTATTGTACTTGGTATGTATGTGTGAGGATCTTTGCAGGCATGTAATTACAAGTTGTGTTCATATTTTTTAAAAGATGCTGAACTTTGCTTATTATGCTGAATAATGCTTGCTGTTGTTGTTGCTGTTGCTATTTTTTTTTATATCTTAGTAAATGTCAATTTGTTCATATAGTTTTTGATACTAACATGAGTCTTGGACTTAATGTTATTTCCCCGCTTTAGTACAATTCATATCCATGACCAGATGAAGTCAGGCACTAGATACATTTTTGCCATTTTCATATATAAAGCTTGAAAAGCCAGTTAAAATGAGACAAGATTATCTCATAAATTTTATTTTAGACTGCAATTATACTTGTTGAGTCACAGGTTAACTTACTTGCATTAATATTCATGAAATTCTACATTGTGTTTTTTAGGACTCGTTAGGATTATTAATTGTTTAATTTGATGAAATTCCTGACCTTGCAATAAAGAATCCAAAACTAAGACATTAGTTTATTGTGTTATATGCCACAAGATTAAGTTTTGGCTTTACACGAAAAAGGAATTTATACAGCATTTAATTTATACAATATGTATAAATGTTGGGTGTTTTCACTATTCATGTCTTAGATAATAGCATTTTTGATATGACAATCTTACATCTATGAAGAAAATGAACATAAAACAAATAAAATTAAGCGACGAAAAAAAAAAAACGAAAACGAAATATAGACAAGTAAATACAACTTTGAACAATTAATACAGTATGTACAATCGTCTATGAGGGTGTAGATGGGGGTTTACAAAATAGAAAATAATGGTAAAAAATGTAAAGAATAGAGAACAATGGACCAAAAAAAATAAAGAATAGAGATTAATAAGCAAAAAGTATAATGGATAGAGAAAAATGGACTAAAAAATTAAAGAATACAGAAATGAAGGACCCCTCCCCCATCCAAACCCTCATCTATAAGGTTACCTCATATTCGGGTTGTACAAACAAAAAACATGGATAAATGATCAACACGAAAGAAAAACTTATATAGTTATGTACTGTAATCGTGAAAAAAATTATGATGGCTTTGTACCACATCTATTCATTAAAATACCACGATAAATAATATATACGACATAACAATGTGGTTTGTTCAAAACAAGCGTGCGGGTTAGATAGGGGCAAATAATGAATAATTGCATATAACATTTAACACTAACAGTCTTAGGAGAAGATCATTCGACATTCTGAAGAGGGGGACAGGTGAAATGATCGTCCCCTAAATATTCAAAAGTAAATGAAATATAATTGGTTTATTGATCAATTTGTTTTAAACAGATATTATTTAATGATAAGATTACTAGTAAGTTTTTTGCTGATGGAGAAAAAGCACAAATGTAAGAGTTCAGTGCTAGTTTAACTCCGTGTTATGTTTCTGTTCCATCTCAGTATTCTGGTGAGTGGTTGGTCATTTCTCTTTATGTTATTGTCTACTGTTAAATTGTCATTTAAGAAACTGGAATTCTGGGTAAAAAACATTGTTATTGGTTACCGTTGTCCCAAATAATGGAAATTCGCCCAATGAAGAGACGGTATTTTCATTTTGGAGTAAGAAACAATGGAATTATCATTAAGCCATAGATTAGATCACTATGGAACGGGGGATTTGGTGTTGATGTTAGATGTTAGATGATTTAAAAAAGAGGGAAATATATGAATGCGCCAATCAAACATATAAATTGATGAAAACAGACAACACCATGGCAGACCAAAATAAAAACTATGAAATGACATACAAATTTCCACAAAATACTACGCAGAAAACTATAACCTGGAATCCAGATGAAATATTTTCGATTTCGCAAGCTCCACTTTAAGTATAACCGCTTACGGTATTGATAATATTGTTACTAAGAAAACTAAAGATTGAGCAACAAGAACCCCATGTAAAACCAGGGGTGAGCTACCGTGACCCGGATGGGAAAAGTAGTAACTTTTCCACTAGCTTCATCCGTCGTGTAACCTTTTTTCTGTGAAATTTATACTTTGTATGGACCCAAGGCAATTTATAGCTTGTTTTAAGGTATTGACCACTGTTTCTTATTAAGTGGTCTCTGGAGGTCTATTTTGATTACCCTATGGTGTTAGGTTGCTGTTTAATTTATACTTACTCAAAGTTCAATGTGATATTATATTATGTTACCGTACGAAATATATAATAAATGGAGATTTTTGTTACAAAATACAAACTTTTTAATCTGACAGATATATATTTAGCATGTTTCATAATACACGAAGCTTGTTATCAATATCAACCCACAGAAGAAACAAATTATTTCTATTATAACAAGAGTTGCATTATATATAATTATAGTGTTAATTTATCCTTGTATGCACATGATAGATGACTAAACATTAACCTTTTGACAACATTATAAGTAACAGATTTACAGAACATATAAATGTTAATTACTGTATTTAATGGTAGAACATGACATTTTAAGTCAACAATAATAATAATATGTTGTATGACTATTTTGGAATGTCTTCCTGTAATATTTTACACCGTACGCGGTCTCAACCATTTTGAAAAGGAGGTGGGGGTTCCAAAACCTGGAACACCATGAAACGTTCACATAGTTAAAAAAAAAAACAACAACAAGAATGTGTCCATAGTACACGGATGCCCCACTCGCACTATCATTTTCTATGTTCAGCGGTCCGTGATATTGGGGTCAAAACTCTAATTTGGCATTAAAATTAGAAAGATCATATCATAGGAAACGTGTACTAAATTTCAAGTTGATTGAACTTCCAACTTCATCAAAAACTACCTTGTCCAAAAACTTTAACCTGCCCCACTCGCACTATCATTTTCTATGTTCAGTGGACCATGAAATTGGGGTCAAAACTCTAATTTGGCATTAAAATTAGAAAGATCATATCATATGGAACATGTGTACTAAGTTTCAGGTTGATTGGACTTCAACTTCATCAAAAACTACCTTGACCAAAAACTTAAACCTGAAGCGGGACAGACGGACGGACGAACGGACGCACAGACCGAAAAATATAATGCCCCTAGGTGGAGCATAAAAACGAAAAAGGGGGGGGGGGGCGGTTCCAACCCCCGACACCACCCTGAATCCGGCCATTTACACTGTGTTCATGTAAAAAAATACGGAGAAATCTCGTTCTATTGAAAGAAAAAAAAACTGTCTCCTTGGGTGTTTATAACTTTAATACTTGTAAGACAAATTATTTTACTTCGTCTCTGTCTTTAATGATAGGAAGTTGACGGAAAAACTTCGTCTCTGTTATTAATGATAAGGCGTTGACGGAAAAGGCGCAGGTAACTTAATATTAAAAAAAAAACCCGTGAGATAAGTAATCAAAAGATTTGTGAATGGTATTTGTCTGACATAAATCTATCCCACATTGTTAAATCGTATTTCAAAACGTTTATATAATTCTTGTCTACTCTATAGCAAGTGCCTTGCCATCTTTAAGAAGTCGAACATGTTTTACTTGGCAAATAAAGTGTCAAAATCATTGTCAGGTTTCATTGATTGGATGCTGTATGCATAACGTCCAGTGGTAGTATTTCATTCATATTCATTACGAGAAATAATTGATTTATTGTTGGTAGCTTAACGTCCAGTGGCAAAAAGTTCGTTCATGTTCAGGACGATAGACGAGGAATAGCAACTATTATATAAGTAGTTTTGCAAAGTGTGTCTTCCAGAAAGAAGGGCAGACTATTTAGATGACAAGAATAGTATGTTTGATAGATACAGAAAATTTGCCTTGCAACAGGCCTCCTACGGAGCCCTAAAAACTGTTGCGAGGGTTCTTTAATGTGCAGAGCGTTGCATCTACCCTACACGAGGCATGGGATTTAACGTCCCCATTCCGACTGGACGTGGTTACATATTCATACATTCAAAACAACCAAACGGAATCCCCATTAGCATTATAGCATGAGTCTACTGACAGATTGGAGTGTCTAGGCATTTCAGTCATAAAACATTACTCAGAACTCGGTGTACAAATAAACTCATTATAGATACAAGGATTGAAATTTTGTACGCCAGACGCACGTTTCGTCTACAAAAGGCTCATCAGTGACGCTCGAATCAAAAAAGTTTAATAGGCCAAAAAAAAAACGAAGTTGAAGAGCATTGATTACCAAAAACTCCGAAAGGTTTTGCCAAATACAGCTAAGGTAATATATTCCTAGAGTAGAAAAAATCTTAGTATTTCGAAAAATTCAAAGTTTTGTAAACAAAATTTGCGCTTGAAAAACCATATCCAGTATTTTTGATTGATTGATTTATGAGTCTGAGCCTGAGTACGACAATGACCATATTTCCATATCCCAGTCAACCGTTTGGGTATTATCATGTTTAAAATGACATTGATAACGGTTATTTTCTATAGAAATTATCATCGCTATCACGTTTGACATGACATAGATAACGGTTATTTTCTATAGAAATAATCATCGCTATCACGTTTGACATGACATTGATAACGGTTATTTTCTATAGAAATTATCATCGCTATCACGTTTGACATGACATAGATAACGGTTATTTTCTATAGAAATTATCATCGCTATCACGTTTGACATGACATAGATAACGGTTATTTTCTACAGAAATTATCATCGCTATCACGTTTGACATGACATAGATAACGGTTATTTTCTATAGAAATTATCATCGCTATCACGTTTGACATGACATAGATAACGGTTATTTTCTATAGAAATTATCATCGCTATCACGTTTGACACGACATAGATAACGGTTATTTTCTATAGAAATTATCATCGCTATCAGGTTTGACATGAAGATGGAAAATTTTTACAGAAGTTACCACAAGTTAGTACAGAAAAAAATAATTTAACATCATGTTTTCAATCATAAAAGGCGCTTATAAACAATATGATTAATCGATTATACCAATGTTATGAATATAGATTACACATGTATTTCTTTTTTTTTTTGTTATCTGGCTAAAAACGTCGTACCAGTAATTTGTTAACAATTAAATCAACACTAGACGCTTTAAAGTTTAGAACAACAACATGCATAAAAATTTACAAATTTCTTCATCACTGAAATATGTGGTTTTTTTTTAAATATTCTTCGCTGAATTTCAACTTGTTGATCCGTTATTTATTTTTAGGGCCAACAGCACGAGATTCGCTTGTTCCAAGTTTATCAACGGTTAACATTTCTTGTGTTGAGTAAACTATGTTTGTCATCATAGCACAATCAGAAAAGCCTCTATTATTTCAGACTGTACAAGATAAAATCAAAACATAGATAAATAAAAAAAAATCAATAATCACAAAAACCCGGAACTTTAGTTAGTCCAGATCTTGGTATAAAATTCTAAGAAAACATGCATTCCATTTCTACATTGTGTATAATGCGACCTTTCTACAGTTTCAAAGGGTTACATTTCGAAATATTTAAAACTACTTCAAATTTGTAGAAACTGTATATATCAGGAAATGGCCATGACGAAATGTATTGTTTCTCTGGCATTCAAAAATGTAAGCTGAATACTCATGCATTTTTACCCTTTTTTTAACACTAAAATGATTGATGATAACATGTCGACGAATTCGTATGATGCGTAACACAGAATAACACATAAAAAGTATCTTTACATAACTATTAACACCAAAAATCCACAAAACTTGATAATACTTGATTATTTGTTATAGCTCAGCAAGTACAAGTGTTTAATAGTGTTAAATAGTTCATGCTAATTAACTTGTAAACCATTCCGTATATACTTGTTGAACATCAAAGCCTACATTTTCGTATATTCCAACAGTCCATTTTGATTTTACACTGATACCCAGTGTTGAAATAGAAGTAAATTCCCAATACGGGGATGATGGAAATTCCCGAACAGAACCTGCCGGATAAAAATGACCTATATTTCGTATCGATTGCGCAGCTATCTCTGTATCGTTTTGATTGAAACTTAAACTATCAGCTCGAATCGCCATTATATTGTTATCATTTTCTTTAATTATAATTCTCACAGAACTTCCGTCTTTCACGGAATCAATCAAGTCTTTTTTTGATTTACTAGTAACAGATTTTGAGTTGAAAGTTGATATGGCTCGTTTCCAATGCCTGGTATCCATGAACCACTTGACAGAATGTCTTCCCCCGGACATTCCTTTGTATTTGTTATCACCTATAAATGGACGTATGGTTTCTACTTCTCCAGTAGTGGCAACATGTTGCCAGAACCAATACACAACATCCTGAAAAACATCAACATCTTTTTTCGAAACATGGCCTAATAATTGAGCACTAACTTGTCCATCTTTAATAAGAAGATTGTCTGCTTCAATACTGTATGGACCTACGGCAATTCTTACTCGATGTCCAGATAATATTCCAGCTTTTAAAAGATCAAGAGATCCATCAATTGGTTCACCGTTCCCATCATGGCTATAAGCTAACTGCCAACAAGAATCAGCATACCACTTGATATCAAAGGACGCCTTGGTATGGCCAGCATTTTTATGTTCCCCAATACGCCATCTGGACATATCGACATCTCCTTCAGACGACCATAAGGTGAACCACCAAAATGCGTCATCAGTAAATACAGCATGCTTACCAACTGCGACTTGACTAACAGCCCAAATGCTTTCTGCACCAATAATGTCTTTTCGTTTTGAAAATGCAGCATGCTCTAAACGTGTGGCGTACCCGAGACTTTCGTCGACAACCCGTAAGTCTGATCCGGTAGCAACGGCATCAAAAAGATTCGATTTCGGTCCACAGTTAGCATTCTGATTTGTGCAATATATTGGAGTTGTTCCGTTCTTATAGTCATCACAACTGATAGTCCTAAAATCAAGAGATATATCGAATGATTTATATAAATATTATTTTACGTACATGAACAGTATTCTGAAATTTTTTTTTTTCTAGATTGAATTATACTAAACAATAATTTTCGCTGACTAGTTTACTTTTGTTATAAAATATTTCAGTAAGCGTAGAAAAGAACTATTGTTTTTCTACATGATGATTAGGACGTATAATAAAAAAGATTGGTGGGGTGCTAGTTATTTTGTGTGCATATGCTATTTTGTTAGTGTGTGCATATGCTACTTTGTTAGTGTGTGTTTGTTAGTGTGTGCATATGCTATTTTGTTAGTGTGTGCTTATGCTATTTTGTTAGTGTGTGCATATGCTATTTCATGTTTGTGATGGCATATGCTATTTCATGTTTGTGATGGCATATGCTATTTTGTCAATTTGTGCATATGCAATTTCATGTTCGTGTGTGCATATGCTATTTTATGTTCGTGTGTGCATATGCTATTTCATGTTCGTATATGCATCGTCTTATTTTTGAAGTGTGTGCATATGCAATTTCATGTTCGTGTGTGAATAGGCTATTTCATGTTCGTGTGTGCATATTCCATTTCATGTTTGTGAGTGCATATGCTATTTCATGTTCGTATGTGCTGTGCTATTTTGTTAATTTGTGCATATGCAAATTCCTGTTTTTGTGTGCATATGCGATTTCACGTTCGTGTGTGCATATGCTATTTCGTGTTGGTGTATGCATTTGCTATGTTATGTTATATTGTTTGCATATGCTATTTCATGTTCGTGTATGCATATGCTATTTTATGTCCTTGTGCGCATATGATTTCATGTTCGTTTGTACACATACTATGTCAAGTTTGTGTGGATATGGTATTTATGTTCGTGTGTGCACTTGTTTGTTATACTTACTTTTTTGTTTGCTATTGAGGATGCAAAACGAATTAAGAAACCTTAAAACAAACTACTGTAATTCGAAAAAAGACAATTGCTTTTCATTTTATTTTAAAAAAAATTCAAGATCGCCAAAATGATTTTGCATTATGCTATGTATAATTCATGTTTTAATGAGTATTTCGATTGTTAGGTTTCCGCTGAATTTCATTCAGAATTTCTAGATTTTAACTAGTAAACATGTTGAAGAAGTTACAAGAACATTTAGTTGAAGACAGGTTTATCCCATCTTATGAACAATGTTAAGCCCACCTTATGAAGCAGGTGTAACTCACCTTATGAACCTAGTTTAACCCACCTTATGAACTAGGTTTAACTCACCTTATAAACCAGGTAATTCTCATATTTGTCGTTGTATCTGATTCCGGTTTGGTGTGTTCGCCAACATACCACCGAGCTTGGTTTACATGACCAGTAGTACAGATTAACAGGAATCTCCAGAAAACATCTCTTGGAAATGTATCCCAAGATTCTTTGCCAATATGCAAAATTGACTGACAACATATTTCATTGTTAGTTGAGTATGCATTGTTTACATCCATTAGAACATCTGCACCAAAATCTAATTTATGGACCTTAATGCGCACGTCTGCACCAGATAGCACATATTTTTTCAGTTGTTCTTTGCTTCCACGTGAATTTCCATTTTCGTCGGTTTCCAAGATAGACCTCCATTTACTGTTACAAACTGTATAAAAAGACATTTCTGAAATCATTGTTATAAGTTCCTTAAGGTTAAAAAGAAGTTATTATTTGTATAGGCGACATTGGTAGCTTTTTTGAGTTCTGAGTTTTCCTCATAAAAAAACCGTTGAAAAAAATTGTGAAATTTTGTATTTTCAACAACAGGGTGTGAATTAATCCACAAAACACATATATGGTGCCGCAGCTTTCTTTCTAGTGGAAAAATAGCATTTTTTGATGTAGTATATTAAGATCACTCCTTGCTTAATTTTGCACATAAAATTTTGCTCATCAAAAAGACTTATCTCCAAATTTCGCACCAATAGCTGATATTCATTTCTCACTATTTCATTTTTCTTTTCTAATTAACAGGGCAGCAGAAAATAAATGTACTTCTAGCTACTATCTTCTATGTAAAAACTAGGAGGCGCCCGTCATATTTAATAACTTACTTTAAACCTTAAGGTGCATACAGTTAAGGTCAATGAACAGTAAATGGTCTATGTTACAGATTTTGGTAAAATACGGTGTGTATCACAAATGATTCAATTAACGGCATTTTACAAGGGGTTATTCGAACTTTTTTTTTATTTTCAAAGTTACTTTAAACCGGTCGGACATATTTGACCATTGTTGCTCAGTAGACACAATGTTAATCAAAGTACTGAAGTACTGAACATCGGATGACCGCAAGTTCTTGTGGATGGTCACAAGCACTTGTCTCAGAAAAAAAATCACATCTCTATACCTGAAAGTGAGGTTAATGTACAGAGATATATTTTTTTCTGAGACAAGTTCGTGCGTGGATGATGAATAAATGACAGGGAATTCAACCGCACCGTAATAACTATTATATTGTAGTGATACAAATCAGTATACTCTGGTTTGTTGTTATATATTATATTAATATTTGTATATAACAGTTACATGTATATATAATTTTCATCCATTTGTATATCATTCTATTCTACTGTTCTAATAATAATGCAGTGCAAGTGCATGGTGGACACTCTGCTGTAATAATTCGATTTTTCTAATAGATTGGATTTAAGTAGGCATTCATATTTTGCCGCAAAACGTTCTTGGGATATTCTTCCGCATGCGTTAACACAATTTTTCTGTACGTGTGCATAGACATTAAAGAATTTTTTACTTATATATAATTTCTAACGACAAAACATTTTCATATTATTAATTTATGTTCTAATAAAATATTTTTATGAGTATTCATTGAAGAAATGAATTTATAACAAGCGATAAGGAATGTTATTTTGCACTCGATAATGTCCTCGTATTTATACGATCGGTTACCAGTCAAAAACGAAAGTCAAATCTCTGTGGCAACAATACATCGGAATGCCCTCACGGTCATCGCGATGTAAAAACCAATAGAACCAGATGTAAAATAAAATTATTCCATGCTCAGGAAGCCAGTGTTGATTTAGTCCCATCAGAACCCGACAGTACTGAAACCATTGGGAAACAATTATTGCAAAACATGCAGGGACCTTTTATACTAACCTCACAATGAAACCTTATTAAAATCGTACACAAAAAAATAATGGGCGGGTATTATTTGTACCATTTGTCTTGGAAAACCATGTTTCATTAGTAGTTTGCATGTCCAGTATATTGATGTGTGTGGTATACGTCAATTAGACAGCAACCCAATGACAAAAATAAAAAGAGACATCTAAAGGTTTTCAAAATCAAACAGGGTTAAATGCAATATGTCAAGTACTACATAATCTCGAGGCTTTAAAATTGTGAATATATTAAAAAGAAACTATCAAAAGTCTGTCATCAACACCAAATTCTCCAAATAACTAAACAAACATGAAGATACGACAAGCTCCTGATTTGGGACAGGCAAATGCATAAGCCTTTAATAAGTCTATATAAAAATAAGGAGATGTGGTATGATTGCCAATGATACAACTATCCACTCAAGTTCAAATGAAGTGGATGCAATTAATTATAGGCAATCGCACGGCCTTCAACAATGAGAAAAACCCATACTGTAAAGTCGGCTATAAAAGGCCTCGACATGAAAAATATGAAACAATTCAATTGAGAAAACTAACGGTTTAATTTAAGACAAAACAATTTACGAAAAACAAATATGACAGACCCGAACCAACGACAACCACTGAACTACAGGCTCCTAACTTGGGACAGGCACATAAAGAATAAAACGGGGTTAAACATGTTTGTGAGTGCTCAACCCTCCCCTAACCTGGGACAGTGAATCACGGTCAGTACTCATTATGTGGTATGATTGCAAATTAGACAACTCTCCGGCAGAGACCAAATGACGTAGAAGTTAGCAACTATAGGTCATTGTTCGGCCTTCAACAATGAGCAAAACATATACCGCATAGCAAGCAGGCCTCTAAATGACAAATTTAAAACAATTTAAACAAGAGAAATAACGGTCTGATTTATGTACAAAATAATTAACGGAAAAACCTATATGATATACAACAACAAACGACAGCAACTGAATTATAGGCTACTGACTTGTGACAGGCACATGCAGAATGTGCCATGCTTTAATGCAAAGACAAATTCGTTAATGTTTTGTTTTTTGTTTGTTTTGTGTCTATCATTTTATGTAAACAATCAAATGCAATGCAAAGCCAAATACATGTACTTAATTACGTTATGTCTGGTAATAAATCAATATTTTTAAAATCTTTGTTGAAATTATGGTTCAGTCGTAACAGTCAATTCATAACATTAAAAACCGACTGGCCGACAGGATACAATGCCTTGAAGAGAATACAGGGACTTTACCTAGAGTCTAAATGCAGATCTAAATATAAACACGTGACTAAATAAATGTGCAAAACAATCAGTCAGTAATGATTCACCCAGTCTGAGGTTTCATGAATGCACGTACTGTGTATTTGACACACGTACTGTGCATTTGACATCTTTCTATATATGGTTAAAATTGGGTCTCAAACATGGTAAACAAATATTACAGAACTGGTCTTTATTATCAAGCATTTTGTTTTATGTTATTTAAACTGGACTTAATTGATTGATTGCATGGTTGGTGTTAAACGCCACTTTTAGCACTATTGGCTTTTTCATGGCGGTAAGTTTTTATTGAAGGAGGAAGCTGGAGTGCTCACAGAGAATTAACTCATTTTTTCATATCTTTTTTCTTTTGGTGTGTTGTTACACCACTGTCCAAGTTTAGGAAAAGAGTTGAGTGCTCACAGACTTAAATATGTTTAACTCAGCCATAATTCGTTATGCCTGCGCCTGTCCCAAGCCAGGGTCCTGTAATTTAGTGGTTGTCGTTGGTTGTTGTTTGCAAAAATTGTTTTTCGTTTGTTGGTGTAGTATAAATCAGATCAATGGTTTTCCCTTTTGAATTGTTTCACATTTTTAAATCTTTTATAACTTGCTATAAGGTATGGCTCATTGTTGAAGTCTTTACGGTGCCTGTAACTGTTCACATCTTTGTCCTTTGGATTTTAATGGATTGTTGTCTCGTTTATTGGCAATCGTTACACCTCTCCTTATTTTTGTATGAAAACAAGTGTGTTTATGTTGATCTTCTTACGTCCTAACAAAGGTAAACAGTAGTAAAAGAGAAGCAGAAGATACCATATAGATATTTAAACTCATAAGTTGAAAACGAACTGACAATGCCATGGCAAAAAAAAAAACGAAAACAGACCAAAAGACAAACAACATTCTACAAAATACAACGCAGAAAACTAAAGACTGAGCAACACGAACACTACAAAAGAATGCCAGTGGTTGATATCCAGATGGATGAGCAGATTCTGTTCCACATGTGGCACCCGTCGTGTTGTTCATATAAGTACAAACCCAGTGATAAATCTCATTCGGTAAGTCACAGGGATAGGAGGACAGGATTGTGGCCACGACTATTGGAACACAGTAAATTAGTATATCAGTTCAAAAGAGATTGTATCAATTTTAATTAAATTTATTTCACACCAGGGCCGTTTTAAAAAAAATAATTTATTTTTTATTAAGATTTACTCTATCACAGCTCTTACAGTGTACTGTGATCATGTCCCGTTTCTGAACCAAATTGCATATGGTTAAAGGTTATTCAATAATTTTTTTATGAAAGATTTTTGGACAATTTTCAGTTTCAAACATTAAAAACGAGTTAAACGAACATTTTTAAGAAAGACAAATATTTATTAGAAGTTAAGCAATGTCTTCTTCAGATACAAATTTGACCATTTTTGTGTTATTCAAGATATGTCCTTCGAATCAAAATAAAAAAAAAATGTGTTAAAAAATGATTTGCAAAAATAAGTAAAAATTTTTCCAACAGCAATGTACTATTTTGGCTCTTCGATATTAAAATCCTAACAGGTTCTATCACCTTTCGGATGTTGATCCTCTTATTGTTGAAACAAATCTGAGTGGAAGTTTGTTCAAATTAAAATAATCATTCCAGTGTATAGTCTATTAAAGACCACTTTTAATAATGCAATTGATCGCTTTTAAAAAAATAAAGAAAACAGAACGACATTTATTACCAACAAGATGTATTTTAGCTGCTGAACAACTTCGAAGAACAATTCAGATCATTTATTACCAACAAGATGTATTTCAGCTGCTGAACAACTTCGAAGAACAATTCAAATCATTTATTACCAACAAGATGTATTTCAGCTGCTGAACAACTTCGAAGAACAATTCAGATCATTTATTACCAACAAGATGTATTTCAGCTGCTGAACAACTTCGAAGAACAATTCAGATCATTTATTACCAACAAGATGTATTTCAGCTGCTGATCAACTTCGAAGAACAATTCAGATCATTTATTACCAACAAGATGTATTTCAGCTGCTGAACAACTTCGAAGAACAATTCAGATCATTTTTTACCAACAAGATGTATTTCAGCTGCTGAACAACTTCGAAGAACAATTCAGATCATAAAAATCGGCGAATTGCATATTATTAAACTTTGATTTACTAATATTGTTTTTTATTTAATTAAAAACCTCGCTTTGTTTGACTAACTAAATAGCAATATATAATTCTTAATAAGTGACCTATACATCTTACATAAAACATTTATCTCATGCCATAATTTTTAGAAAAGCAAAAATGAATTGATGACAAAATATTATGTAATTTTACAATAATTCGTTTTCTTCAAATTAAGAATTAAAACTGAGTTGTAAGTTATGAAGAGTTTTTTTTTATCATGCATTGGAACCAACTAAATTTTTACCTGAAATCACATATCTCTAGTATTTCTGGGGAAAAAAAAACAAAAAACAAATTGTAAATGAATGTTTTATATTTTTTTTTAATTATGTTAATAATGATGATTAAGCATAAACATACCCGCACGTTCCTCGTATCCGACTATCAGAAATACAGCGATTATCAAAAAAGATTTGGAGACTGCCATAATTCTTATTAAACCAAGCACTGCCTGTTTTCTGAAAAAAATACCACATTTAAATTAAACACATAATTATTACAGCCTCTGTCTCTTACCTTGTTTTCATAGAACTCTGCAATAAAAAACTCGGTGTTGATCAAACAGAAACAATTTATTGTTAAATGAAAAAAAATGAAAAAAAAAAAATGTATAAACTTTGCCGCGTAAAAAAATTATTCAATATCTTAATATTTATATCTGACATGGTGTTATGCAAATATTAATGTTAATTAAAAAATAATTTGTTCATGCCACGCTCTATGCAAATTTTAACACGAGAAGGCAGTATATTTATTCATATCTTTATTCCGAGTGTTAGCGAGGTGTAAAATATAAGTAAAATTTTGACAAATATGATGCAAACCCTTGTTCAAATAAACATAGAGCATGACGTACAAGAATTTGTTCGATTCTTATAAGAACATTAAGCATTTTTTTCTTTAAAAGCAGACCAATAAGACTGTTCGGAAGGAGTCCATTTGATTTAATGAAGCAAAAAAAGTTCTGGTACAAAACCGTATTACGATTTAGAATAGTACAACTACAAATAGGCTTACTTTAAAAAAAAAAAAAGATTTTATTGCATTTCATTACAAGCGACGACTGTATCTGATCTTTAAAAGTCGTTCAAAATAACACTGACTTTGTAAATTCGATTGTTATGTCAAGCACGTGCATCACATATTTTATTTGGATGAAAACACTTTTGTACAAAGCAAAAAAAAAAGAGCGTCACATTAGATTGATTGATATAAAAATAAGGAGATGTGATATGATTGTCAATAATGACAACTATTGAAAAGAGTCTAAATGAAACGGATTAAAGCAACTATAGGTCACCGTACGGCCTTCAAGAATCAGCAAAACCCATACGGTATAGTAGCTATTAAAGGCTATAAAAGGCCCCGACATTATTGTGAAATAATTCAAGCGAAAAAAGCAAACGGCCTGATTTATGAAATAAATACCATAAAAACTTATAATATTCATTGCAGCCCATACGGAAAAAACCGTCTGAGAAGCCAAATCAACAATACGCTTCGCAATTACATGACCATTTGGCCCTAATTAAATCAACGAAAACCATTATAGCCTTTGTACGTGAAGACTAAGCAACACGAAACCCACCAAATACCGGGGGTGATCTCATGTGCTCCCGATGAGTAAGCAGATCCTGCTACACACGTGGCACCTTTTATAACCTTTCCCATCTTGACTTAGCTGTTATAATGGAATACATAATGTCAGACATAAATTTACATATACCAGACTTTTAATAGACAACTATTTAAAACCATTTGTTTGAGAAAAGAGATTGTCATTAAAAATCTCGCCATTCCGGAGCACCTGAGATCACCCCCGGTATTTTGGTGGGGTTCGTGTTGCTCAGTTTTTATTTTTCTATGTTGTGTTTTGTATACTGTTGGTTGTCTTTTGGTCTTTTTCTTTTTTTGTCATGACATTGTCAGATTATTTTCGACTTATGAGTTTGAATGTCACAATGGTATCTTTCGCATCTCTTTTACATCATCTCAATACCAACCAACAAACTTATTAGCTATGCATAACACATGAACGTTACACTTTATAGATTTCGTGCGAAGCGTTTCTCCGAATGTACCTCCATCTGGAACGCTCAAACAGAAGCTTTTGAAAGCCAGGATGTATAAGTACACGAACACGTGAGAGGTTATAATAGTTATCACTGCACTACAACCTCTTTCTGGATTTTTTTTTAAATCCAAAAAATGCAATAGAAATAATTTATTTTCGCAGTAAATCTTGCTTCTGGTAATAAAATGAATGGGTTTGATTGATACACGGATTCTGTTAAATAATTTATAAATACACCTTGTTTTTTTTGTTGTATAAAACATTTAATTTTGATAAATTAAATGTAAATTAATAGTATAAACCGCATACAATTAAGGACGTTCCGTACTAATGTGACAATTTATTTACTAAAAAAAACCATTAAAAATAATATAAAACCATTCTCGGTTAATTGAATGCAAAATTAATGCATTGAAATTCAGCACATAAATGTGTCATACTTCTGTTTTAAAAGTTTATGACCCCTTTTTTAAAAACATATAATAGATATAAGAAGATGTGGTATGAGTGCCAATGAGACAACTCTCCATCCAAGTCAAAATTTATAAAAGTAAACCATTATAGGTCACAGTACGGTCTTCAACACGGAGCCTTGGCTCACACCGAACAGTAAGCTATAAAGGGCCCCAAAAAATTACTAGTGTAAAACCATTCAAACGGGAAAACCAACGGTCTAATCTATATAAAAAACGAGAAACGAGAAACACTTATAAACCACATCAACAAACGACAACTACTGAACATCAGATTCCTGACTTAGGACAGGTGCAGACTTCTTTAACATAAATTACTTTTCAAGAAAGTATTTTGAAAATTTGGACAAAGAAATAAGTACAAATAGGTGTGAATTATCAAATGGTTGGAATTGAAAGAATATTTACAATTGAAGAGTTTAACCAAGTGCATTTACCTAGTTGTATATATATATATATAAATATAGACAAGTTACATTACAATAGATCAAGCTTTAAATCGATTGAAGAAAACAGAATACATTTAACATTGATTGATGTTTGCTTAACGTCCAGTGGCAAATATTTCATGCATGTTAAAGACGAGAACAAATTAACAATATATACACCAGGTATTTGTCATAGAGGCCACTTGGGATAAAGGTAGGGGACATTTTGCCTGTCATTGGAGAATGAGGGTATATTAGATAGGGACTGAAATGTTGCCTTGCAACAGGTCACCTATGGACCCACCAAAGAGTTGTTGCAAGGTTTCTTAACGTTAAGAGAGCTAGGAACACTCTTAACACGAGGAATCGGATTTAACGTCTCTAATTTGACCGCACGTGGCTGCGTACTTATACATCCCGAACAGCCAAACGGACGCCCCACGTCGGAAAATGTTTTACTGCCGAAAAAAGACAAATTGAACGTGACCATATTTCGATTCCCCGGTCACCCATGGGGAGAGGGGGCACATTTTACAGAATTTACAAAAAGTCGACGTGCTCGCCATTAACAAATTCCTCAAATTAAAATAAACACACTTAGATATAAATCAAGACAACAATTGACAAGGTTCACTGACTTGTTACCGTGACATAAACATGAACAAATTAATTTTTAATTACATGACACATGAAGTTTGTATTTGTCGTTTGCAGTTCGCTAGCTATCTATATAGAATATGTATTTTATAGGGAAAGTGTGCAAGCTGACCAATCACATTTTTTACAGTGATGTTTTTAGTGAAAAACACTAAAGATGTCCTCCAAAATCTTCTTTTACAACTATGGAATCATGGGTAGAACTGATTACCATAAAACATAGAGTTGTTACATTGTTATAATAAGTCTTGTTCGGTTTTTTATCAAATATAGGTGTATGTGTAAATAAATAAAGCCAACAGAGGTTTTAGTACTTAGCGGTAAGTTTATTATTGCTTTAAATTATTATAGTGCCTAAAACTGAAATTAGGACAGCCTGATCTTTACTATGTACATCAAAAAAATGATATCAAATTATATGAAAGATAAAATCTGCACTATTAATAACATTACGCAAATGACATCTGAGACCTATGAAAATGTACTACATCCGCACTAGAAAGAAGAACCATCTATCAACAAGAATGTGTCCATAGTACACGGATGCCCCACTAGCACTATCATTTTCTATGTTCAGTGGACCGTGAAATTGGGGTCAAAATTCTAATTTTGTATTAAAATTAGAAAGATCATATCATAGGGAACATGTGTACTAAGTTTCAAGTTGATTGGACTTCAACTTCATCAAAAACTACCTTGACCAAAAACTTTAACCTGAAGCGGGACAGACGGACAAACGGACGGACGAACGAACGAACGAAAGAACGGACGCACAGAACAAAAAACATAATGCCCTCTACTATCGTAGATGGGGCATGAAAATGAATGTAGTTGTTTCTGTCAAAAGAATGTTTAAAAATTGAAAGTTGTCTTTTCTAAATTAGAACGTAATGTAGATTAATTGTTTTAAGTTATTTTCGGTATTGAATCCAGGGAACTATGTACCGCGAGTACATACATGTAGTTCTTTGATTAATCAGAAAGAAAGATTTTTTTCACAGATTCAGTCTGTCAAAATAGCCAAAGATTGTGTTGGTAAAGTTAGCGTCAAAAACAATTTCTATTTTCTGTTATTAATAAACTCATCATAGATACTAGGACTGAAATGTTGTACGCCTGACGCGCGTTTTGTCATCAAAAAGACTCATCAGTGACGCTAGAATGGAAAAAGGTTAAAAAGGTCAAAATAAAGTACTAATTAAGATTATTTGTGTACCTTCTCGTTACTAGTTAGGTTCATATTCTACTCCTGTCTGTTCGTCAGCATAAGGTGTACATGAATCTCTAGTCGTCACAACTATTCATGATCACATTCATGAAGTCTTGTTCACTTCCTACGTTTATGTACGTATATATTAGAGAAGAACAAATCATTTCCTGCTACAGTTTAAGACTACAACTTATTTTTATTTCCCTATGTACGTCAGAGTACATGCATATCATAAAGGTCTTGATGTTTCGGGGATATCATATGTACATACTTGCAAACACATTTTTAGAAATCTCGAAACTGAATATTCTGTCCAGGTTCTTAGTTAAAGTCAATCACATGTCTATATTGAACATAATTACATCTTTCTATGTTGTGATGTTACACTATTGTTTCTGGTAGGGTGAAGGTTGGCGCCTATTGTAACGTTTAAACCCGCTGCATTTGTTTGCACCTGTCCTAAGTCAGAAACTGATGTTCAGTGGTTATCGTTTGTTGATGTGGTTCATAAGTGTTTCTCGTTTCTCGTTTTTTATATAGATTAGACCTTTGGTTTCCCTGTTTGAATTGTTTTACACTAGTCATTTTTTGGGCCCTTTATAGCTTGCTGTTGGGT